ATCTCACTTTAAATGCGTGTTCAAATTAAGTACGTACTTCTATAAATTTTACATTAGCATGTGTTGCAAAATGTGGTCAAGTTTATTTTGCTTATAAACTAAACAAACAAGCACATAGTAGTTGTAAAGAAGAATAGTGATGTTTTGTTGAGTTATGTACACGCAACTTCTCTAACATATTATTTCATTAACATATTTTTTTAATCAATAAATCGTTTAGATAACACTTAAAAAAAAGAGTTAACGCAACATATTTTTAGAGCTTTTCAAAATTTAAATTGTGCATGTAAGTATTTAACAGATGAGAGAGAAAATAATGAATAAGATAAAGAGTATTTAAAAAAATTAAAATTTGTTTGAAATTTAAAAATTAATATCATTTCAGGATTTTCCCTTTTAAAATATAAATTAATTTTAATATTATTTGCAATATTATAAGAAAAGTATTATTTCATTAAAAAAAACCCTATAATCAGTTTCAAATAAGTTTTACACGATTTTAAAATAGATTTGTCTCTTATTACTTTTAAATATCTATTATCACTTCTATTTAAATAAATTTTACCATATATTTATATATTATCTTATAACCATATAAATATATAATAGAGATATTTAAATAAAATTTACTTAAAGAAAAGTAACAATAAACTCACAAAAGAAACTACAAACACTTTCTTTTAAACTGAATTTTTGAAACTTAAACTGACGCTGTAGTTATCCAAATTATTGTTTGAGAAATTGAGATTCCGTGTTTCATTATTTTTTATTATTTAGTCCACATGTATATTTAAAGAAATAATTATTAACTAGAGATAAAATTATATTAATATAATGAAATAATTATACTAATAATTATACAGACTAATAATTTTTAATATAAAATGTTAGTCTAAAATGAATAGCTAATTAAAGGCTTCTATCATATAAATTATATTCTGATTGATAAAAAATATATTTTATGTAAATTTATTAATGATACAAGTATTGATACAATTTATACTTGTGAAATTTTGTCTACCTCATTATTTACTTTTATATTTTTATATAAAAACTTGTAAAAATAAAATATTATTTTCTTAAATATATTAAAAATATTTTTTTATTATTGTTTTAAAAAATAAAAAGAAATGAAATAATATTCTTAAAATAAACAGATTGAAATATATAAATACTTTAGTGTGTGTTTTACATTTTGAACATATATTATGTGGGGAAAAGTTTGGTCCTATCTACCTCGGAGGAAGGAAAAGAAGGATGGAGCCCACATAAGTATCCCATGTGGAATGGTGGATGCGTCGATATCATCCACGTGGCATATTTTGACAGCTAGGTTTGATGAGACTCCAGCTGGCGAGTTTGTGCTACCCTTAGCGTTTCAGATAACCGCTTAAATATCTAATAGCTCTTATTAACTATGCATTAATATTTAACTCACGCTTGTATATTTTTATGATAACCTTTCTAACGTTTTCTCAATGCATATAATAAACAATTACTAAATTATATTTTTATTCACTTTTACAACATTTCATGTATTAATATATTAAATTTCTATAAGATTTTAAATATTAATAAAATATTGTTATATACTTTTTATTATGTGTCTTTAAATATACATTAAGTATTATATTGTTAATATTTCTTTAAATGTCATAACACGTTCAACGCAAATTCAATCAGAAATTAAATATATTAAAATAATGATTACCATAACGTAAGTACAAGACGTTTGAGTTTGAGTGCCCAGCGCACGAGGCCCTATCATCATGCTGTAATCTTGATGCAATGCCAAGCTGCTAAACCTTCTCTTAACGTGTTTTAAAAATAAAATTCTCTCTGATTTTTTATAAGATATTTTTAATTAAATTAGATAAAAATAACTAACTCTTTAATATGATACAATACTTTTTTATTTAATATAGTTCAACCTAGCTCTATTAGTAAAATTAATTTTTGTTAATTTTTAATTAAGTTTCTATCAGTCTTGTTTATTAAGAAGAAGAACACAATAAATACTTTATAAAAATGATAAAATTCCTTATGAAAAGACAAAAAAAAATGAACAAGTTAATTTTTATTAAAAAAAATAAGAAATGAAGTTACATTATTAAAAGCATAAGAATAATTGTTAAATATGAATGTGATAAGAAAGCGAGTGAAATGGAAGGAGAGTGAGAATCCTTAATGAATGGTTGTGATGGCAGCTGGCTTCAATCATGAAACGACACAGCATTAATCTCTATGGGGATACAAGTTGAGGTTACCCAACGCATATTAATTAGTATTAATACAATAATTAATATGACTAGTCCACTTTTATCTTATAGAATTTAGGAGCATGATGTATATATCTATCTGTCTAAGCATTTCATCACCCTTTCTTCCCACTATCTGAACCATTTAATTTTTCTTTCAATTACTGTTATATCCTTAATCAAATTTTTCTTTTTCAAACTCTTTATGTTTAAAAATCACATTAAGTTTTAAGATTACAAAGTGTTCCAACTAGGGGAACATGCAAGTTCAATTAACCACTTGAAAATAAGCAATGTATGATACCTAAAAATATATGAATTAACAATGTGTAAAAGTAACTTATATATACATGAGTGACATCACTAAATTATTTAGCAAATTGTCATGCGACTCGGATAATTTATTTTTTCAATTGTAGATGAGGTCTAAGATTTAGATAGGGTCAAGAATTATATTGAAAAGACTCAGTAACAGTTGAATTGTTGTGCCAAAGAGATATATTACTTGGCAGTAATTAGTTTTTTTTCTTTTTTTAATAATGAGCATACTTTATAATTATTGGATGAGTATTATATCTACAATTTTGTCTTATTAAATAATTTTTAATTAAAATATTTTAATATTTATAAGTTTGATTGGACCTCAATTAATCCGAGTCAAAGTCAAATAAATCTATTACTTCCATTTTTTTTAACTTTTAAGATTTTACACAAAAAAACTAAAAGAAAAATATTTTAAATTTTATAAAGATTTCACTTCACTATCTATTATATCTTTTTCTTTTAATACGATGTATCAAATTTTTTTATTTTATCATCAAATAAATATTGATTATTTAAAATAAAATTATAAACAAATATGGAATGGTTTTTCATTAATTAAACTATACTGGCGTAAGTTACATAATTAATATTTTTTATTAAAAAATAATTAAAAATCAACCTTAAATTAAAAATTTTAATCATATAAATTATGTCTACAAAACTTAAGATCAAGTTATTACTTTTAAAATGTATAAAAATAAAGATATTTTAATTATATTTTACAAAATTTAATGAAAATAATCAAGTTACAAATAATTATAATCTAACAGTTAAATAAAAAATTATATTTAAAATAAAATTATCAATAATATAAGAATATGTATAGCTTATACTGATTGGACTTAATCTTTATCCTCCCTCTCTTAATTAATATATATATTAATTATGTGCAATTTGAAAATCTATTAAGAAAAAGTCATCATGTAGCAAGAAAATGATCATACCAATATAAACAAATCAAATTTAATATAAGGATCGATGTTCAAGTAAAGTTTTTTATGATTAACCCAGGATAAAAGATGGTTACTTGATCTAACTTAACTTGAAAATTAAAGGGTAAAAAAGTTATCTTCCTAACTTAATTTTGTGCAAATTCTTAAAATGATTGTATAGATTATTGATTTAATTATAGTCATGGTCAAAGGGTAGTTAATGGAAGCATGAATCACTAAGAATTGTCGTTGAGTCAGAAAAATAACAAAAAACCCCATGCCATTGATGCATGATCATAAGTTGTATGCCCTCCCTCTACAATGAAGAATAGACCGATATAATAGTGACAAATGTGTCACACTAAAGTTAGATTGCTATCAAGTTCAATTCAAGTTACATAAAGGGACTCTTGTTTGAATTAATGCATTTTTGTTTTTGAAAATTAACTATTTCTTAAGTCGATGTATTTTATCTATATATGTTAGTTTGGGTTAACTCAAACTATTTAAGCTAGTTATTTCAAGTAGGATTTGGTTGACTTAAACTATTATTTTATGTGGGTTAAAATTAGGCAAAGTAAACCTTAGTTCTGTCTTCTTTTTTTTTTTTTCATTTTCAAACTTTAAATGAATCAACTTTTGCATTACAAATTAATTAAAATAAAAATAAAAAATGGAATAAAATATTTCACAAACTGTGCATATTGGTAACCCAATCTTTATATTTGTGAGATCGACATCTCTATGGCTACACCATCCATGGATTTACCTATGGTTATATATAATATTTATTTATGATGGGATAACAATGAAAGGGTCATTTTCTTGCAAAGATAGCACAGCATCAATGAATGGTTTGATGAATAATGCCATAAACTCGTGGGATGAATGCCAAATGCCAACACCCTAAACCAAAAAATCCCACTTTAAAAGCAAAGTCCAAACCCCATACCTCACTTTCCATCTATTTTATTACGCGTAGAAAATTTTATCTTTCTTCGCGTTCCCGCCGACCCTACTCTCTCTCCCACTTTCTCTCTCTCTAAAAAAAAAAAAAAGTGTACATACCCACACTTATAATCGAATTTTAGGTTAATAAATAAATAAATAATATTTTTTATTAAAAATTTAAAATATGTTATGGTATTTTTATTTAAAAATATTTTATTTTCAGTCTTTATAATTTTGTAAAATTTTAATTTTACTGTCTTATTTTTTAAAATTTAATGTTTTTAATATTTAATAATGACATAACTAATTAGAGAACATTACGTGTCAATTTTTATTAGACGATATCATTATTAGAAATCGAAATTATTGACTTTAAAAATTCAAGATTACAACTTTTTTTTTAAAGAAAATAAAATCAAAACCTTATTATAAAAAAAAAAGACGAACGAAATAATAGTTAACCCTGTTATTGAAAAAAAAAAAAAAAAAGGAAGAAGACTTTGAATGTAAACGTAGGCTCTTTTAAATACACACCAAACACAAAGCTCCGTGCGTTCTTCTTTTGAAGAACTTCTTCAGAAGAGAAAAAACATCAATAAGAATCTCTCTCTCTCTCTCTCTCTCTGTCTCTCTCATTTTGAAGTTCTTTAATGGCAAAGTCAAAGAACAATGCGAAGAAATTATCTTACATATCAGTTCCTTCTCAGATCATAAACTCCATATCATCCTCTTCTCTGCAATCACTTCTTGACTCTCCCAAGAAGTCTTCAAGAACCACTAACAGGTTCTTCATCTTCACCAACAACATCTTCAGGAGCACACGACTCTGGTTCTTCATCCTCTTCCTCGTTGGTTTCCTTGGCATGCTCAAGCTTGGCCACAACCTTCACACCCCATTTTCTCCTTACCCATGTGACACGACCCTCATCTCAAGCTCACATTTAAAATCGAAACTTGGTTTTATGAATGAAAATGGCCCAAAAAATGAGGCTTTGAAGAAGGGTAGTTTGGCTTTGGTTTCCCATGTGGAACTGAAAGCAAACAAGGTGGAAGGTAATGGTGATGAAGATGTTGAGAAGAGTGAGTTTTGGAAGCAACCAAATGGGTTGGGATACAAGCCTTGTTTGAGTTTTAGTAGAGATTATAGGAGAGGAAGTGAAGGAATTTTGAGGAATAGGAGAAAGTATCTCATGGTGGTGGTTTCTGGGGGGATGAATCAGCAGAGGAATCAGATTGTTGATGCTGTTGTCATTGCAAGGATTCTTGGTGCTGCTTTGGTTGTTCCTGTTTTGCAAGTCAATGTCATTTGGGGTGATGAAAGGTAGATATTAGTCTCTTCCATATGGTTATTTTGGTTTTTAATGTTGAATCCTTAAGAAAATATCGAGTTGGGTTTAGCTTATTAATCATAAGCATTAGTTATGCCTTAATCATAAAAGTAAATTTATTTTCTTGTGATGGCTTGTTTAGTTTTTCAACGTAGGTTAATTTAATTTCTTTCTTTATTTGTGTGTTAGTTAGAAAGGTGTATTGTGTAACTTTTGATGATTGTCCTTATTTGTTAGTAATGTTTTTCATTGGTTTGGTTGCAGTGAGTTTGGTGATATATTTGATTTGGAGCACTTCAAGAGAGTTCTTGCCAATGATGTGCGAGTGGTTTCAGCTTTGCCATCAACTCACCTAATGACTAGGCCAGTGGAGGGAAGTCCTCCCCTTCATGTCACACCCAGTTGGATCCGTTCAAGATATCTTAGAAGAGTAAGTAGAATTCATTGCTTTTTTGTGATGCTTCATTGACTTTAGCTTCTCCAGCTTGAGTCCAAAAGTTTTGATCCATAGTGAAATATTAGTTTCAATATTTCATAGAGGTTTTTTTAATGGATGACACGAATATTAATCTCAATATTTCATTGAGGGTCATTTTGTGGATCACACCAACATTACTATCATAAGAGTAGCACTGTTGTGGTGAAGTAATTAGAGGCATCGCTAGTCCCTACCAATTTATAGCTTACATTCTATTTAGTAGTCAATCTATAAGCTTTGTATTGCGTTTGCAGTGTTAACTAAGGAAACATTTGTCATATTAGGAAAAAAGGTTCTTTTCTAATTATAATCCTGGTTGTCTATGCAGCTCAACAGAGAAGGTGTATTGCTTTTACGTGGCTTAGATTCGAGGTTGTCAAAAGATCTTCCTTCTGATCTCCAAAAGCTTCGATGCAAGGTATTTGAATTCAAATTCTCTTCCTTTGGAAACATGGTAAATAGGCAAAAATAAAAACTGAAATAGAAGAGGAAGAAACAACTAGAACTCACCCTTTAGAAATTTGTTCCTATGATTGACAACTGATAACAGATTCTGAAAGTTCTCATCTTGTCTTTCAGGTTGCTTTTAATGCATTAAGGTTTGCTCAGCCAATTCAGGAACTTGGTGATAAAATTGCTGAGAGAATGAAAAGCAAGGGACCTTACCTTGCTCTTCATCTAAGAATGGAAAAAGATGTGTGGGTGAGGACTGGTTGCCTCCCCGGTTTGAGTCCCGAGTTTGATGAGATTGTTAACAATGAAAGGATACAACGGCCAGAGCTCTTGACTGCCAAATCAAACATGACATACCATGAAAGGAAGATGGCTGGTTTGTGTCCCTTGAATGCTGTGGAGGTTACCAGGTAAATATAACACTTGCGTTTATTTGGTTTTTAAAAATCTGAGTGTAACAGGATTTGCTGATAGAAGTTTTGATTTAATTTATAGGCTATTGAAAGCTCTAGGAGCTCCAAACAACGCAAGAATTTATTGGGCTGGAGGGCAGCCACTGGGTGGAAAAGAAGCCTTGCTTCCATTGATCCAACAGTTTCCTCATTTTTACAGCAAAGAAGATCTTGCCTTGCCTGGAGAACTACAACCATTTGCAGATAAGGCTTCCTTAATGGCTGCCATAGATTACATAGTGTCTGAGAAGAGTGATGTTTTTATGCCATCTCATGGAGGAAATATGGGCCATGCAATTCAGGTATGCTTGTTAAGTATCAATCATCCTTTATTAATTGAATTAGACTGTTCGAAATACTTTGCACACTTAAATTTTATGATCATGAAAAAATGTTTTCTAGTTTCAGTTTTTTCCACAAATATTTACAAAAATGCCAATTTGTTTCCCTTTGGTTTTTGTTTGAAATATTTGAATAGGAAATAGAGAAAACATCAAACAGCAAGCAGTGAAAACAGTGTTTCGTTGTTTTCACCATTTCTTGTATAAATCATGAAAAAAAGGAAATAGAGTGAAAGTAAGTTGGTATCTTTGTAATTATTAGTGAAAATAGGAAATGGAAATAGAAGACATTTTTATCAAACTAAACATGCCAATTTGACCATTTCTAGTTTCTTAAACTTACAAATGTTGGTTTCACTTTCAGGGTCACAGGGCATATGCAGGGCACAAGAAATACATAACCCCTAACAAAAGACACATGCTCCCCTATTTTCACAATTCCTCCCTCTCTGAAGAAGAATTCAACAGGATTATGAAAGAGTTACACCAAGACTCATTGGGGCAGCCAGAACTGAGGACTACTAAGGCTAATAGGGATGTTACTAAATATCCTATCCCTGAGTGTATGTGCAATGACTCACATGCTCAATGATTCACAAATTAATTCCAAAGCATATGGCATGAAGGTTACTTGGCAACTGAACAAGGAAATGAATGAATGCTATTTTCAGAAGGGTGTGCAATTTTGATCCCTTTGGAACCACTTCAGGTGCCTTCCAGGAAGGGTAACCATGGGAGTTCTGAGCACCATATTTTTACTACATGTCATGTCAAGCATTACTCACTCACCTTTCAGGTGTACTCCCATTACTCCTGAAATATGTTCATGTCTATGTGGCAATGTACATTTCCATCATCAGTCAAATGATAGATTCAAAATATTACACAACAGCCGATTATTTTTTGATTCTTTATACAAAGAGATTGTATAGGATATGTTCTCTTTTACTGTGTAATTCTTTTTATCACAATATACAACTTGTGGATATTTGAATTATATCATTTTTGGATTATAGTCATTTGATGTTGAAGATCACCTTATGATACCATTTAATTATAATTCAGCAGGAGGAAGGGAAGACAAGTTACAAACAAGAATAAACAGAATTTGTGATTGGATTGGGTTGGTATTCAAACATGGTACATATTCTGAGGGTAGCTTTAATTAAGCCTGCTGCATATATATATATATATATATATATATTTATTTATTTTTATTTATTTATTTATTTTTTTTTTCTTTTCGTTAGAATATAAATAGTGTTTTTGAAATTAAAAATATGCTAAAAGTTTTAATAGTGACTAAATAAGTTTTTTCAGAAACAAGCAGTAATTCTTTTCTTAAAAGTTGTTTTATGTTTTTCTTAAAAAGTTTGCAATTTCTGAAAAAAATTAAAGGAAAAAGTATATCATAAAATGTTTCTTGTTCTAAGTTTAAACAAAGTGCCATGTAGTTAAAGCTACTTCAAGTCAGTAAATCAGCAAAAGAAAGTTACCAAGGACCACTCCGATTGCCAAATCATAACATTATTGTAAGTTTGGCATTATATGTTTGTTTGGGCATTATTCTGGTTGAGATTTAATGTTCTCTTCAGTTTATGCTGACTATTACTACGACACAATTGAAACATTGTCTATTGCCTCTTCTTTGAAAATCATCGAAAGATATCACACATTTATTGGATGTTACTCATTAGAAGAGGCAGTTAGCAACCTTTCAAATAATGTATTCCTTTTTGTGCATAATAAGACAAAGTCATGTTTAAATTTTTGTATCTTTCTTTTTCTTATATTGTTTTTAGATTGGGGTTAAATTTACTTAAGTTACATTTTAACGTGATAAATGAATTTCTAAACACTCAGTTAATAAATATTAAATAAGCTTCACCAAAAACATATTTGATTCTACATAAGGCTCTGGTTATCCGAACAATGATGCCACGTTGTGAGAAGCAATAATTTGTTCTTCCAATTTAGCACGTGTTCAGTGGCTCTTGAATGCAAAAAACACGAACACTATTGCATCTATCAGGGAAGAGAGAAATAAAATTTGATTAGGACTTGTATACTTAACGAGGATTTAATTCCTTTAAAATAAATAAATGTATAAAGTAAAAAGTAAGAGTGTATTTCTAATTTCGAATTAAAACATCTCGCATTTTTAACTAATTTTAAATTAGCAGCCTTATTAATTCGAACTCCTAAACTTTATTTTAAGCATTTATAAATATTTTTATAAAAAAATATTAACTTCAATTTTTATGATTGAGTTTGAGTAACCAATAATTATATAATTTCATTGAAAAAATAAAATCTTTTATATTTTTATATCTATAATGTAATGAATATTTTGTTTTCCTTTTTATAAAAAACTTAGTGTATTTAGATGTTTAAATTTAATCTTAAAAATTGATATTATCAAGTAATTTTTTATTAAAATTTTATATTCTTGATGAAGTAAATATTTTTTTCTCAATAAAAAATTATCACTTTTAATATATGCCTTAAACTAATGATAAATACAATTTTCTTATTTTATGTACGTATTTACTTTAGAGATGACAAATCTACGGGAATATCTATTGTTATTCCTTTCAACGCCTGTTGAACTCAGATATATATATATATATATATATATATATATATATATGGATGACTGCTATTGGCAGATAGATGTGTCTCCTTAAGGCATGAAATAAATCCCCCTCTTTCTTGGATTATAATTTAGTATCAAATCAACATGATTTAAGATTATCTCCACGATCCATTTGATCCTTGGCAGAAGGCTTGGAGTGCTATTTGGAACAAAATTATATCATTTTATTGGTGGGCTAGGATTGAGATACTACTTGGAAGTATGTCCCTATGAACAAGGATATGAGAATGGCTTCATATGCTCATGAATATTAAACAAGTCAACCAACACAAGGACCTACTCAATTTGGTTTTTCCTTCTTGTCAACTTTATCTAACAGCATCAGCTGTACCTTGAAATTTTGAAAGCAAAAGCCATGCCAAGTGTAATAATGGTACCTTCCAAAAGGGTTCTGACTGATCTTTTTCTCAGTTTTTACAACACCTGCTTGCAACTCTTTCAACTGAATGATGAAAACTATTAATTTCTTTGCTGCTTTGCAGAACACCTGTAATCACCACTCAGCATTTACATACAATGGTAGTTGTACTAGTATTTTGTATGAATTCCATAATATGTGGTTCATATTTCAAAATCTAATGTAGACTTATTTTGTATGATTCCCAAAATATCTTGTTCATCTTTCAAAATTTTATTTAGACCAGTGTCAGCATGTTCAGGATCATTTCTCAATGAAATGTCATGTCCTCCACCCTGGAACCTTTGCCCAATGTGCTAGCAAAAAAGCTCTCAGATTCCTTGATCTCCACCAACTGGTCCACATGAGACAAGCTTCAGTACTAAGGCTGTAGCCTTGTGCATGTCCTGTACTGAAAGTAAGCATCAGAGTGGTGTGTGACATGGTGTTATAGGGGCCCCACATGGCCCAGAAATCTTAAATTGTTGGAAATTTATGGATGATGAAAAGAAAAACATTTAAGAAGCAATTATCCTTATGTGGCACCCTTTATGGAGATAAAAGTAAGGACAAAAATTTAATTATAGTTTCTTTTAAGTGTTTTTTTGTTGTTTTTTAAATAAAATATAATCCAAATAACCACCAAGCTCGAATAATGAACAATATCCTAAACGTCAAGTGGTAAGAATACTTGAATGAATATATAATCATTGACACTGAATAGCAACATTGATAAATTGAACAAATCAAATCACATCTAGATAATCATCTCCATATTTATTCTTGAAAGAATGATGCTAAATAGCTTATGGCACAAAATTTCTCCCAATGACAAAGGAATATGTAACCTGATCAAGATAACTGTGGACATGGAATCTGTTTATGACCTTTTCTCTATAAAAGTGAGTGTAACATCAGTGTAAGACTTTGTTTCATTTCCAATCTGGAACATGGAAAGTTAAAATTCGTTCCGAGAAAACAGTCCTGCCCCACCCAACCTCTTCAATAGATTACCCCAAAATCAGGACAGAAGTTTTGCATTTCCATAAACATCAGATAGCTTGCTTGCCTTCTCACCCCTCCTAAATACACCTCAATTGCGTTGTATCATTACCTCTCGTTCACGGCTAAATCAACCCTAACCAAGGCAATCCATCATCTCGGTCAAGCTTCTAATAGGAGGCCCTAACAAAAAGGGTCTGTGATAGGAGGAGAAATGGGTCAGCTAATGACGAAACCTAAATAAGTTGAAATAAAGTTTGTTACTAAAGCTAGGTCTTAGTTACAGGGTGTTAACAAGGTAGTTAGAAGTGAACTGGGCTTAAGATTGCCTTGAGCATCCTATACACTTCACACCTGACTTCTAACTACCATATTAACATCTTGTAACTGTTCACTTTAGTAACAGACTTCACTATTAAATTCATTAGGACCTCATCATTAGCTATATAGCCCATTTATCCTTCTCATAATGTAGACCCTTTTCATTAAGGGCTTGCTATCAGCTTCACAGTAATATTGCTCAAAGATAACTGTCATGCCTGCATCAAACATGATTCTTCTTTTGTAGAAATTGGCCAAAATGGTGATAGTTCAACAACTTTTCCTATGATAATAAGTGTTGGTGACACCAATTCAGCAGATGTAATTTTCCCAGAAAGGTCCTTTAGTTCTGCAAACACCTGCACGATTGCAAACAGTATGTATAATCAATTGTTGGACAGCATCCTGAAATGTAGAACTCAGAAGAATTGGCTATTGAATAACACCATTATTTTTACAATTGTATTTATTGATCAGTTTCCAATGTCAACTCCAATTTGGAAGCACCAAATAAAATGTTCGCTTCAAAGGAAAACACTGTTACATCCAAAAACAAAACATTTATAAAGCATAGTGCCAAACATGTTTGTTAAATTCTTGATTTAACTCATGATCTTAGATAAGGAAACCGTGTCAAATAGCATGTAAACTCGTTTTTGGATAAACTCAGTTGGTGAACTCAAATAAACTTGAGAGTTTACACTCGATTTCAGAAGTTTAACAAAACAAAGGCAAAATCACATTTTTTTCACCAAAATAACACCATTTGGAATGACAGCACCACTTTTCTTCCCCTTCCGCAAGTTGTGAAAACATTTATAATTATGGCACCAAAATCACATTATTATTGTATGATTTGGCTATTTCAGTATGATTTTAACTTTATTATTGAACTTTATTTAATTATTATGAGTTTTTAAATATTATTTTTACATGAGGTAAACTCTTATGAGTTTACAAGTTGAGTTTATAGACACTCCACAAGTTTATGTAAACTCTCGAGTTTAACGACCTTGGTGCCAAATACACTTTCACACTGCTCTCATAATCAATCTTTTTATTATTAAAAAACTAGGCCTAACTCATTTTCAAAAGTTAATTGAAAGGACCAGTAATCTTATAAGGAGTATTCTAACTATATTTTTAGTTGATGTGAAACATCTTAACACCACTCTCGTACCCAAGACTAGACATTTGCAAGTGGCCTAATATTCCAATTGGATAGGCTCTAATAACATATTAGAAAACTAGGCCTAACTCATTCCCTAAAACAAATTCATAGGAGAAGGGATGTCCAATCTTTATTTGGAGCATTCTAGGTCTATTCCTAACCGAAATGTGACATCTTAACAATTATCATTGAATATCCTTTGTCAAGATCATGACAACAAAGGCATCAACAATAAGGATATGAATAATCTTTTCTTGGTACGAACATGTCAACATCATTTACAAAAAAAGAAAGACACAGGCAACTGCTATACTAGACTAGTGGGCCGCTGTAAAGGAAATGGTGTGTTCCGTGCAATTGTTTTATGTTTTTTTCTCTATGAAAAGAAAGGAGGATCAGAGCCCCAACAATAATGTGAAAGAGGGTCTAGAAAGCTGCATGGGAGGAGCATGAATGATGAATCTTTGGAATCAGCATTCCATAAAAAATCTAGTATAATAAAATAAGAGTTTTGTTTAAGGGTGCAGGAATGAGAAAGGGGAAACTGGTATGGTGGTCATCAGATTAGAGACATGCCCTCAAGAAAACATAATATGTTTGCTGTATGCATATTATTTCAGGTTTCCAGTGAATGGATTTCTATTAGTAAAAAGCAAACTGGAACAAATTTTTCACAATGATAGTTTTTTTTCATATTTCTCAACTCACAGGTTGACAAGGGTAGGTTTGTTTTGTATTTAATGAAGAGCAAGACTTCAACGTGATTTAAAGGTATTGCATGAAAAAATAATGTAAAATTGATTCTAAGTAGCTCATGAATTAATCCAACTTTTTAGGATAGCATATTAATTATTCATTAAGTTTGCATAAGATACTGGAACAACTCTACCTTCATTCCTGTTTCCACAAGAAAATATGTTACTTTACTAGTATGTAACTGATCATTTAAATTATAAACCCGTTATCTTACTGCTCTATTAGGAACTCATTGTAATAAGAAGAAAGCACATGAAAAGCAAGTATGATCATGCTTACCGTGCGCTGCTGAATTGTAGTCCCTCGCTCAATGGCTGCAGCTGGTGTCTGAGGGGACAAACCATGATGCATTAATTTCTGTGCAAGTGAAGGGAAGGTTGACAAGCCCATATAAACCACCAAGGTAGAATCAGAATCAGCAGCATTCTCCGATACAAAGAGAGGATCAGTTCCTCCTTTCCTTGAATGCCCTGTGAGGAATCTCACACTATTTGCAATGCCCCGGTGAGTTAATGGAATTCCCAGCTCTGCTGCAATTCCAGATGCTGCAGTTATACCTGCAGACAACAAGAACCAACTAATTATAATATAATCATTAACCACCACAGTTCCTCTTTTTTTCAGAAACCATTAATAATTTATAAATCCACTGATGTCTCTGACTCTCTCACATGCTAAAACACCATGAAAAAAGGGTGAGAAGGGACAATAGGGCTTACATTTCATGCTTTCATTTCTTATTGTTTTATGATAACTGTAATAAATGCAGTATGAATGCATACTTATTTTTCATAGGTCCCAGCCCATTTTAATTTACGCATTAGTATACTATGCAACTGCTTCTACTGTTCACAATACAGAAAAAAAAAACCACATTATTTTTGCTCACTAAGAAATTAATGCGATATAAAGTGCCTAGGATGAGTCATCTTTCCATGCCTATTTAATAATGTAATCCTTATTTTGCATTGTAGAGGAAACAGTCTGGGTTAAGAAAGATGCCGATAGAAGTTGGATTTATTAATCATAGACTTGCTAGTTATGGATCACAAAGAGAATGATTGCTCAAACCAAAAATATGCAAACAAGGAATATTATAGAAAGTGCGTGCAAGTGATTGATTGACTGAGAGATAATTGTTTCCAGTTTCAAAAACAAACCATTCTTCACACCAACTCTCTTTGAAAACTCCTTTTTCTTGTCTACTTCTTAACTACATATACATATACACACAAAAAATGAAGCATTGACGCCAATTGGTGTTCATGAGTATCCAAACTCCTCATATCATTTCATCTAGATAAAAGATTCAGACATCAGCAGCATACCTGGAATAACTTTCACTTGGATACCTTGCTGTTGCAAAAAATCCATTTCCTCCCCACCCCTCCCAAACACCTACAAATACCCAACAACAAACATCATAAGACACCTACATCTGTTCACCACACAAGCCATAACAACCTAACATACTAAAATGTTTAACCACTGTGAAAACCCCAAAATTAAAACTCACCAATGGATCACCCCCTTTAAGCCTCACAACAGTCGCCCCAGCTTCTGCAAAACTCAGAAGAAGCTCATGAATTTCCTCCTGCCACCACAAGTTATTAAATCAAAAAATAGAGAAAAAGAGGAAAAAAAAAAAAACAATTTTACCAATGTTAATGAATCAAAATAAAGATCACACCTCCAAATGGGGTTTCAGATGAAGACACACAAAGATAAAATTTTGACTCCAGCAATAACCAATCATTAATTAAAAAATAAAAAATAAAAAGCACAACCCCACATACCTGGTTGGAAAATTTTAATCTTTTATGGCTTAAATAAGTTAACCAATCAAAAACTTGACAGAAAAAAAAAAAAGACTTTACCAACATCAATGAATCAAAATCACTATAAACCTTCAAAATAAACATCACATCTCCAAAGATATGTCCACATACAAACATAAAATTTTGAGTTCAACAATAACAACCATCAGAAATTTCAAAGGAACCCACAACCCCACATGCCAGGAAACACAAAACCAGAATCTTTTTTTAGCTTAATTAAGTTAACCAATAAAAAAATTGACAAAAAAAAAGAAAGAAAGTATTATCAGATCAATGAACCAAAACTAATCTTCACCTTCAAAATAAACATCGCACCTCTAAAGGGTGTTTCAGAGGTTAACAAAGAAACATATAATCTTGAGAAAACTCCCCCATAATTTTTATTTTTATTTTTATTTTTTTTCATTTTACCTGGGTTCTACTATGGTAACCAGCAGTTTTTCCCACATAGAGAAGCTTAGCATGAGGAGCAACCAAATCCAAGACATCATTAGACACCAACCTATCATACAACAACAAATCAGCACTCTTCATAACTCTCACAGCCTTGAGAGTCAAAAGCTCAGGGTCTCCAGGACCAGTTCCAACCAAAAACACATTCCCAGGCACACACTTTCCCTCACTGCACTTCCCTTCACTCTCCCTCTTCTCCCTCAGCACCTGAAGCATCCTCTTCAGCTCTGGAAGCTGCAACCCTATGTCGTTCTCCCTTATGGACCCTGAATCAGGAGGGAGGGAAAACGACGTGGTTTGGTCTAATGGGTTGGTCTGATACACCCATTGATCCCTCTGGTACCTCTCTATTGAGTGCTTCTCTGTGAAGGGTGAGGTGTGGCAATTGAGGGAAGAAATGGGGTGGCAGCGATGAAGAGAATGATGGGTTGTGGTGAAGAGTGAGTGGAGAGAGGAGAAAGGTTGAAGCTTGTGAATTAGAGCCATGTGTGTTGGGAACAAGACACAGCAAGAGAGGGTTCTAAAGGAAGCCTTTTATATATGTGAATGTGTGAGAGAGTGTTTGTGTTCGAATTGGAGTGTGGCTGTGTTGTAATGGACTTTGGAGAGATTGAGGAGACGGTGTTGTTTTTGCCTTTGGGCTTTTGGTAGGGACGTGCTTTGGGGACGCTTTCTCTTTTCTTGTTTTTCAGTTTCGCTTAAATATGTTTTCTGTACAATTAGTTGTGCAACAGGTATTTTAATTTATAATAAATATATATAATTTAATAATTACAGAATAAAATTTTATATTTTTGAATAATTTTATATAATAATAAATTTATTTTATAAATAATATATATCAAACTAATAAAGATTTAATAAAATTAAATACCTTTTAAATATAATTTATTTTAAAATAATATGTTTATTGTGTAGTGTCAAAAAAATTTTAAATAAAATGTCATTAATTAATATATATTAATAATCATAAATTTAAGAAATAAAATTCTTAAAATTAAACTAAATTAAAAAATAGAAAAAAATAAGATAATATTTATAAACAATAAAATAAATATTCATAAAATATATAATTTTTCTTAAAATATACTCATAGAAAAATATGCTGATTAAAAGTAAAATAGTAGATTTTTACCAAGTGATAAGTGTTAGTAAAATTTATTGTGTAATTTATATTGATTATAACTTTAAAAGGATGTTAAAAAATATTTTAAAATTAAAATTATTGTTTTGATTTGAACACTTACACTTTTTAATAATTTTCTATAAAATGCAAGAACAAATAATTAAGTTATTGAATTATTTTATATATTTTAATAATCATATATATCAAACATTACATAATTTAGATACTTACAAGTATGTTATAAAATTTGATATTAACTTATATTTTAAAATATAAGACCTATTAAAATAAAATAAAATAATTTTGTAAAATAACTATTATTTTTATTTTTATATAAAATTTATAAAGTTAATCTAAATTAATGATTGGATTGATCTATCTCTATTATATAAAATATTATTAAATAGTATAAGTATCTAGATTTAAATTTTAACAAATTTTAACTCTTATTTTAATATATATTTAATTATAATTAATTCTAACTAGGGTTATAACAAAACACGTCAAAATATAAAGAGTAGGTAAGAGAAAATGTTTGAAATATCAAAATAAAATAATTTAACGAATATTTTTAAGTGATTTAAAATATTAATAAACTTTTATTTATAAATTATGAGTATTAATTTTTTAATGAAAATATTTTTAAGAGAATTTTTAAATGAAAATACTTTTAAGAGTACTATACGATAACATTATTAAGAATTAGTATTTTTATAATCTTAAGTGAATTTTTCTACATTTGTATTTCTTTTTTAATGTAATATTAATTTATTTTTAATTTTATTTAATACAAATAAATATTGTCTCATGTAAAAGATGTCTATTATTTAAAGAGAAAAAAATCACTTCTAAAATATTTCTTAAATGATCTTTAATTTGGTGTAGCAACGAGTAAGAAATTTAGAAAATATTTTAAAATTTTATGATATATTTAATACTTTATGACAAACACAATAAAAAGAATTGCTTATTCTTAGAACACTCGGATTATTGTAACTACTCTGCAAAAGTTTATAGAGAATATATTATATGAAAAAAGTGGTAGATTTTAGCAATTTAGCAACATTTTCTGTTTGAAATGTGCAGTTGCTACGGGTGACAATAGCACCCCTAGACGCGGCGAATGTTGACGAGATGCGATGCGCCTTTTAACCACCCTACTAACTAAAACAATCAATTACTTTTAAATAATTATAAGATGTTATTATTAAATTTGTTTTGTTGGATTTTTCTGTCTTTCTCTTTTATTTTTTTTAAAAAAATGTTATTATTACATAATAATAAATTTATATTACTTAAATTGACATGATAATTATTGTATATAAAATATTTAGAATAATAATTTTATAGCATTCCACTAATATTTCACCATTTATTAATGATAGATGGCTAAATTTAATCTTTAACATTCTTCCTTAAAATTTATCTTTATCACTCTGGGCATATTTTTAATTTGGTCACATTAATCAATCATAATTTTTTCTCTTACTAAATCTATCTTCAATGTAGTGGTTTTTATGTTAATATATTTATTATGATAATGAAATATTAGATTCTTTATCAAAGTAATTGTCAAGTTATTATCACAAAATATTTTTGTAATATTTTTGTAGAATTATCTTGTTCTTACAGCTCATCAACATTCTTCTCAATCAAATTATTTTAGTAGTACAATTTGTTGCAGCTATATATTATATTTAAGTTGTTGAAAGTGCAGCTACTTCTTATTTCTTGGATGATCAAGAGCCCAAATCAAAGCATAACATGAGGTGCTTTTATATGTCTTTATGTCACCAACCCAATCACTATTTGTGTATCCAACTAGCTTCATCTTGCTAGAGCTTAAATAAAATATGCCTTCATTAATTGTACTTTTAACATACATAAAAATCGCTTAGTAGCTTGTCAACGAGAGTGTCAAAGTGCATCTATGAATCGCTTATTAGTCCAACTCCAAAAATAATATTAGATCTTCTTATTTCATCATTTACTAATAATTACCATGTATGTTTCTGGACTTATACTATAAGCACAACTGTGTTTAATGGCATGCACGACCCTGCATGCAACGGTAGTTAGAAAAAGAAGGGTTCTACATTATAAGTACGAGCATGCACAAGGTTCAGCACGGTCGTGTTGTGTCACCAAAGGTTAAGGCGGCCATAAAACCCTAATCCAAAGCTACTACTTATGGGCAATCTCCCCAGACTTATCAAAGAGTCTCTTTCCTTTTTATTTTAATTGACCTTTTGCATGCATTTAATTCTTTCAAATATTAAGCATAATGTTTTGCTCAAGTATGAGAGAGTTTTCAATAATATGATTATTATTGCATATTTTTAAGTAAATATTTCTGCCCTTTTTATGATAATTTAAAACTTTTATTCTCAAGGAACCCAATTTTCTTATATAGAAGAACAAGTTGAATAATTATTACTAAAATAAGATTTTTATTAGAAAACTAGCTAAGTTTCCTACTTCTCTGCTCTACATTAAACTTTAATTCACAAATATGAGTTTTGAGCATTAAAGGAGATTTTTATCCTAATTCAATTGACGATACCCCTTTCTTCATCACTTTGTGTGATTATTCCCTAAGGATTTATGCTTTAGAACTTAACTTGCAACTAACTTGAGGCTACTCTTTTTTATTGCATGTTTTAATATGGTTGAGGCATAAATATGAATTTTATTCTTGACCTTCCACATATTTGAGACACAACTAATTGCTCACTTTGAGTCTTATTGATTTTTTCTTGGTACCTTTAATGTTACAATTGAATAAAAGGAAGGAGTAAAAAATTGATTGTATGTAAAATATAAAAATTACTCCAAGAACTTTATTTATAAACTTAGGGGATGTTTGTGATTTTTATAATTTATTACTCCTTTGTACATTCATTCATTTTATTTATCTCACCTCAATTATTAAAACCCTTAGCGACATTAAAACATGAAAAAGATCTCATGATTTTTATTTGCATTCAATTTACCTAATAGAGAGTTAGTTTATGGTCAAGTCTATGGTAGTACACTTCTCTTTAGAGGAACTGAGTGATACCTCCCTTTTGTCCCTAGACACTTAAAGAGAAAGATAGGGGGAGTAGAGTATTCCAATTTGATGTTTGAACGAGAAGTTAGGGAGTATAAGATTCTAATCAGGAAGCCTTTTGATTACTTATGCTTAGTATTACTCATTTGTCTCGAGTTCCTTGTTGTGATAATATGTATCAAAGTTATTTCTTTATCCCTAACTAGGACTTTGCATGAGGGCAAGCAAATCTAAAGTATGAAGAAATTGAAAAAAGTTTGTATTTTAATATGTTTTTACAACTTATATTTACATGCTTAACGTTTGTTTGATTAGAATTTTACATTGATTTATATATTAATTATGTAATTTAACATTTGAAGGGCATAATTGAATTTTGGGTGCATTCTGAGCTCAAATTGGATAGAAAATAGGTCTTTGCTGCACAAGCATGCTCATACATCAACAATTAACACAGGAGTGCTTCGAGTCACATGCACGGTCATGCTTATGATTTTGCACGACTGTTGACAAAACATATTTTATGTCTAGATTTCTAGTTTTATTTTCATTTATAAACACTTTTAATATGCTTTAAATGATTATTTGATTTAATTCGTAACTCTATTCAATTAAGTCATTCAATTGAATTAATAATTGAATTGGGTGATTGTTCAAACGTGGATTTAAATCTTTAGATACTGTGATAGTCAGAGTTACACGCAATTGGTATTTTATGGATTGATATTTCTTAATTCATTTTTTACTCACTTTAATTCTGTTCGTAATTTAATTTGATTAATTGCAAATTACAAAACTCCAAAAATCTTATTTGCATTTTTTAAAAGAAAACCTAAAATTGAATTTGACTAAAAATGTGTCTCCGTAAATCGACCTAGGTTTGGCACTATACTACAAAATCTTCAGAAAACTTAGTTGTTTTGATAGCGACTCGACAATCGTCTATCAACTGTGCTTACCTACGAGAAGTTCAACTTTGAAGAAATATTAGGATTTTGAAACTATATTAAAGGAACCTCATCATGGACAATGACTCAGGTCTTTTTTTTGGCATATTTAACACCTTCAATTTTGGTTTTGACCAGTTGCTGATGACTAGTAGAGCTTTGGGATTATGTCTTGGAATTAAGAGCTTTATTCATCTCTTCTCTATTGGAGACCCTTCTAATTTGCATTTACTTTTTAAATAATTATAAATTGGTTTATTATTGTTTTGGTTTTCTATTATAATATGTTTAACTAAATTTATAATTAGGATTATGCTGAATCTTTTGCATGACTTTGTAATCTTTGTAATTAATGATAATTTTATGTTTTGTTTATTGATTGGTGTTTATTCTATTGCACTATATTAGTATGTTTAGAATTGATAATTCTTAAACATACCATAATTAATTATATCTTAGGCAACCGTACCACATATAGTTAATAGATTTATAGTGTAAAAAGAGATAAATAATTGATAGACCAAGCTTAGTTCTTTTCTTTCAATCCTTA